AGACTACAACAAAAATCTACAAATGTTTATCTTTTTTCCTACATATACACACACCAAGAGTCCCTCACCAATGGCCATTCAATTTCTAGTGTTTTTTGTTTTGCTTAGTTTTTTTCAGGATTTCAATATATTAATAGAAAGTTTCTTTCCACTTTCTAGTTAGGTATGGCAGTACTTTTTCAGTATTGCAGCTTGGCTGTTACCTAAGTTTCCTACTTATTTTGGCTACTTGCCACCTAGAATATTAAGTCCCCTGAGACAAGCTGTCAAAGGCAACCCCTGAAACTGCCTACTGCTTTTTTTCCATGCTTGTTGGGAAGAGCAAGACTCCCACAGGGCAAAGCAATCTCCTTTCAATGGAGCAGGGGAAATAACTGGGAAGAGCAGGACTTTGACATGCAGCTTCTGGTTAAGTCTACAGAACTATTTTTTTAAGTAATTGGGTGGGCATGAACTTATAATGTTTTCTTTTTGTTTGTGGTTACTCAATGATTTTTTAGAGCCAACACATATTTTGTAAGAACTAAAAATCACCTCAATTTGTTTTGAAGAATGTTTCAAAATTTTGCGTTTCATTAGCAAAAGAAATGTAAACTACTTCTTTCACCTATTTTTAATTGTTTATTAAAGAACTCAGAGGAACAGGCTCAGTTCAAGTCCTGAACTACAAAAATTGTTTTAGGTAGCATTTTTTTTATGTCTTGAAAATATCAGTAATTTTATTTTAATTTTTCTATTGTGTGTAATATTCTATTTTACATTTTTATAACAAAATTATGTCATGAAAACTATTGAATATTTTTATATAAGGAGCATGCAAGGTTTCCAATTTATTTTATTTATGAAAGAGCATAGGGGCTGAGGGACCAGCAGGTGGCATGGTGGTTAAGGGTGCTGGACTCTCACATGGCCTACCATGGTTCGAGTCCTGGATCTGGCGGTTTACTTTCTCACTTTCCCTATCTCTCTCACTCAGTCCCCCTCTGATCAAATTTTAAAATATATGAATAAATAAAGCTAAATAAAATAATTTTTAAAAAATCATAGGGGTTGGCAGGTGGCGTGGTAGTTAAGGCATTGGACTGTCACGTGGCTGACTGTGGTTCAAGTCCTGGACCTGGTGGCTTGCTTTCTTGCTTTCCCTCTCTGTCTTTCTCTGCTCAAATTGAATAATACTACTAATAATAAAGAAATAATTTTCTAAAAAAGGTCATTATATTATGTGCCTAAGTCTACATGAGTATTATGATTCAAGTTTATTTTAAACCCTCCTATATTTAATAAATTATTAATTGTTGGATGATACTTGTTTGTCACTTTCTTCTTTACATATTGGAAATAATTCTCATCTAAAGTCAATTTTCATTTTTCATGTTTGAGGCTGTTGTTAACTTTTTATTTATATAGACAGACAATAACTTTAAGAATTTTTAAAATTTTATTTAACTTTATTTATTTTAATTTGACCAGAAAGGGGGAGAGAGAGGGAGAGAGAGACAGTGAGAAAGCATGCTGCTAGGTCCAGGACTTGAACATCAGTCGGCCATGTGGGAGTCCAGTGCCCTTAACCACCATACCATCTGCCGGCCCCCAGACACTAAACTTAAAAGCTTTTGGATAGTGTTATCTGTCTGATATATCACTTTTTCAGGAGTTTCCCCCAGAGTACTAGAGATCTGCAAGAAGGAAGTATGGGCAAATGAGGAAGGAAAAAACGTTCAGGGAAGAATCTTCCTAAAAATCACACAATTGAGTGTTTCACATTTTCAGTTATTCTTATGTTATCTCCAAAGGGTCACTTGTTGGGCTTTCACTTGTCCTATGACCTTAATTCGACTTGTTTCAGATTTATGAGGACTATAAAATTAGGAAACTTTCATTAAAAAAAAAAAAAATTAAAACCCCCTGGATGGTTTCCCAAAGCCCATCCAGCATTACTTAAGACTTTATTATTTCAGCTAGTTGGATATATCATATCTGCCGCTCCAGCCAGGTCTGCACGAGTCCTGTGACTGATGCCTAATGGAACCAATTTCCACTCTGGCAGAACAAATTCAAGTTCTAATACTAACTTGAATTCCACTTTCCTTTGGATGCCAGCAATTGGATCCTTGAAAGAGAAATTGTATCCGCACCTCTGCTTATTAAATGATATTCCATATATTTCATCTAAATTGCTACCAGGAACAATCGACTTAAATCTATAATAGAAAACAAACAATTTCTTAATTGCTGTGCTGAATTTGCTTGATTTTATTTCGTATTTTTCAGTCTTTTTTTCCCTCTTCATCTTTATGGCCTCAATTTACTCCACACTTCACCACTCTGGACTGTGGACCACTGACCTTCTGTACCAGGAACAAATGCTTCGGTGCATTCACTCACCTACGCTAACAATCATATTACAGTCACAGGCCATTAACTGTCACTCACATTTTCATTACCTGCCTCTGATGAACATTGATGCACTTGGGTGTCCTACTCAGGACTGGAAAGAAAAATCATTTCGATAGAATTCAAAAAGTTAGCATGTTTTGTCAATAGCTTCATTGTTCCTTGGGTCCATTCATCACATCTGGCCTGCTATTGAAATCCTTTCTTGCATTCTAACATCATTAAAGTGAGTCATCATTAAAGTCATCTCAAAACAGAGGTATCTCTGCAACTTCGAAGATATTGTCAACCAGAAATCGTATTTTCAAGCTCCTGAAACAAATACAATATTCTTGTATATTTCCTAAGATGGAACTTCACACTGACGATGATGTGGTGCTTATCTAATGATTTCTGCATTGCCCCTGGTTAATGATGATGCTCTAAGAAAATGAGTATCAGTTTTCTCGTTATCAGAATAAATTAAAGTGCACATTTTGGAGTCTTAGATCTCTCACACGTGAGAGAGAAAAATCATTGGAAAGAAAAAACGTAATAGTTACATTTATATTCATCTAGTTGCACTGAAATCTCTTTTGACTACCCATTTCTCACAACAATCACATATTATCTTACAAGACTACCTAAAGGATTCCTCTGTTGGTTTAGTTTGATTTTTCACAAGCATCAGATTTAATTAATGCTTCATGAAAAGGCCAAAAGCCCACCAATAATTCCACAGTTCCTGGTTTTCCCACCCCTCCTTTAGTAGACGTTACTTAAGTAATTTGAACCAGTTTAAACTGGTGGTAGTAGAACTGGAGGGATCAGACTGCAGGAATGTGTGTGCCATTGAGCCATTTTCAGAGACTGAAATAGTTTTGCTGAGATATTAACTACAAATGAAAAGTATCATTTTGACATTTGGACAACTATGGCTCACTTTTCATTATTTGTTGATTCTTTGACACAAAATACTTTTTAAACACTTTGTTAATATTACTTCCCGTTTAATGACAAAGAAATTCAGAGCACAGATGATTGTTTTATTGGTTTGCCAAAGATCTTTGATAAAGTGCACACACAGTGATCCTCAACCATGTTCCCAAGTTCAACAAAGGCTTAAAAAACACGGACCTAGATTTATGGGGCATACATTTCAGGCTGATTAAGAAAAAATGTGTGCATGATGTAAATGCAGGGTGTGTGTGTGTTCATGTGTGGGAAAGAAAGCGAAAGAGGGAGGAAAAGCCACAGTTGCATAAAGTCATCTTTCTTAGGGAATTTACTAATGGGGAGGTGGAGAGAAAGAACTCAGGAATCTTCTCTCTGGTGACAAAACAATATTAGGAAAGAAAAAAAAAAACAGCCATTGTGTATAATTTACTGTAGAACCTTAGACTAGAGGGAATACAAACCCTACTGCATGTGTATGTATGTACAGATGGCTACGCACATTTTCTCATCTGAAATTTTTGTCTCAAATCTGCTTTAAATCAAAATGAACTGCATTCGAAGAGTCTGGGTGAAAAAAGAACCTTCCAAGAACTTTGCTCATCCCTGCAGAGCGGTAACAGCGAACTCACGAGCTGTATCTCCACTGCGTGAACCAGCTCCAAAGTTGACTGTTTTCTCTACGTTTTGATCGCGAAAGAAAGTGCTCCGGCTTTTCATGAACAAACTAGGAACTCTTTCTTCATCTCTTCACGTCTTCCCTCTCTACATTTGACCATACAATTTTTCCTAGTTTTACTTTAAAAAAAAAAAAGTGTTTTCTTTCTTTTGCCTTCCTTTCTTCTCTTTGACTAAAAATGACTTGTCTACAGAGGAACATTGATATATCAAAGTAAGGAGACACCCCAAATCCCCAGACTCAACCCACCGAACCCAGGCGTTCCCACTCCGACCCCTCACTGCTCTCCTCCCATGTCTGGGAGTTTCCCTATGGGTCCGAGTACCCCAGAGTACACTGAGAGTTTGCCTGGGCGTCTCGCAATGTGCCTCTCAACTTCTGCTTCTCCAAACCAGGTAACACGGTGCTATTAAAACCGTGATTGCAAGTGCATCTTCTGTAGGACTTGGAGGTCCTCCATCGGCGACCCCAAACCCCGAGCCTTCCCGCCCTGGGCTCCGAGGAAACCTGGATCTGCTGCCAACTCCACTCTCCCGCAGCGCCAACGCCCTAACGCCCAGGTCTGCCCTTCGGCCCCAGCGAGAAAGCGCCGGATGGAGCTCGCCTGGAGCTTACGCCCTCGGTGTGACCTGCGGGCGGTCACCAGTGGAGAGCGATACAAGAAGCAGGGGATGCGCGTGGGCAGAAGGGCCGGTTCGGGCTGCCGCACCGGCTGCGCGCGTCCCACTCCCTGCCCGGAAGCGAGCAATCAGTTTCCCTCTACCCGAAAGCAGGCTTTGTGTTGAGTAGGGGAAAAAACTAAGAAAGTCTGTTCAAGCGTTTGTTTTGTTTTGTTTTGTTTCGTCTATTTGCTTCCCAATTAAAACGTGGAGGCCTAGGCGACAGGCCTGCGGTTTTCACAGTGTAAAACGGATTAGAGGAAAAGCCCCAACCCCTCTCGATTTTCGCTTGCGGTTTGCAACCCCCGGGGCGGGTCTGACCCCGCGGCACCTACCCAGACAAGCTTCTCCCGAGGCGACCCGACCCGCGGACTCGGATTCCCTCGGGGATAGAGGAGGGGCTGTGGGCAGCTCAGCCCGGGCCGGGCTGGGCGGAGCCGAGGCCGTGCGTCCCGGGGGAGGGAGGTTCCCACGGTGCTGGGAAACTGCGCGCGAGGGCCCAGAGCCCTCCTCCTGCCCTGGAGCCCCGCTCTCCTCCAGGCTCCCAGTCCTAGGCATGAGGGAATCCTGGTGCAACCCGGGCTCCCTTCTCCAGGACTCTGAGGAAGAAAGAGCAAAGGAAGAAAATGCACTGCGAATAGCTCGCAAACCTGGATTGGCTTGTTGGTTTCCTGCTTTGCACTGGTCCCCAAGACTCTGGAGTTCACCAAGGAGCCATACTTCCAAGAGATGTTGAGTTCACGTGCACACACCATTTAGTTAACATATATATACATAAAAGAAAGTAAAACTGATCTTCGATCTTCTCCACGATCCCTGGTCTTACTAAATAAAGCATTCCCGCGAGGGGCGCCAGGCGAAGCTCCCCGCCCCCTGCCCCCCGCAGGCCACTCTTCCCTGGCCCCCAGCACCTGTCCACGAGTTTGCGGGTCGTGAACGCTGAAGGCTGTTCCAGTACCCTCCAGTCTCATCCTGAACCCTGTGGACATCTCAACGTTTAGCGACCTTTTCTTGTTAGCCGTCTGCTTCTTATAAATGAAAAGTGAAAGTTTGCATTCAGGTTAAAAAAATAAAAATCGCCGTTCTGGTCTTCCCGCTCTAGCTCTGGACTTTGTTTCTTACACCCGCAGAGAATGGATCCTGAGTGTGGAGCTCGGTAGCAGGGCACTAGCGGATCAGGTCCTGCATATACTGGAGTCAAGGGATTAAGGAAATAGGCGCAGGGATCAGCGGACTCCTACCGTTCTTACGCTCAGGCCCGCTTCTCGAGGGAGACCCGCAGCTAGTGGTGCGAGGGCTGCGGCTTCCGACCCGGAGAGTCTCCTGCGCCAGTGGAAAACCAGCCGGTTCCACCTTAAGAATCCCCGCCGCGCGGCGGG